TCAAAAAAAAAAAAAAAAAATACTGGAGACCAGGGGAAAGTGGCAACAATGGAGCATGTTCTCAGGGGCAGGACAGCTGGGACATTTGGAGGGCACCTCCTCTTCTGAGGCAGGAGTAAAGGAAGAAGACAGGGGTTTGGAGGGCAGTGTGCGGTGAGTGAGAAGACAGGCAGCTGCTGAGGGGGCAGGGAGTGGGGACAGGCTGGAAGATAAGAGGAGAGGGGAGAAGGCCCTAGGAAGGGAGGTGGGTTAGGGACCTGTGGAAGGTCTCCAGGCAGTGCCAGGCTGTTGAAGTTGGGAGAATGAATTTGAGGGGTAAGACTCTTGTCTTGTGGCAGATTCCAGAGCCCTCAGCAGCCCAGGAGGAGGGTAGGACAGTGGCATTTCTTCCTGCCATGTGGTTCAGGGATAAGAAAGGCAGGCGGGTGAGGCTGGCGGTGAGAGTGACAGAGTGGGCAGCAGGGTGCCTAACACACAGGGAAGGAGGTGAAGGCAGCAGCATAGCACAAGGATGGAGGTCATACTCTTGAGGCAGCTGGGCTGACCCTCCCAGCCTGGGCAGGGGGTGTGGGCCAGCAGCTCCCACTTGAGAGGCTGCAGAGGCAGGGGCTGTAGGGGAGGCTGAGGGTGGAAACAGAGGGCAGCAGAGGGCACCCACCTCATACCTCTCTTCTCCCCACAGGGTTCTGATCAGGTTTACTTCAAATCCCTCAGCCCCCATCTGGTGGGGCTTCCTGGTGGCCGTGCTGATGTTCGTGTGCTCCATGATGCAGACGCTATTCTTACAGCAGTATTACCACTGCATCTTCAGCATGGGGTTGAGATTCCGGACAGTGATCATAGGTATCATCTATAGGAAGGTCAGCTGGAGCAGGGCATGGGGGCAGGCTGGCCCTGGGCAGCTTGTGAGAGGCTCGTGGCCAAGTCCTCCCCTTTGCTGTCCACCAACAGGCTCTAGTCATCACCAATTCAGTCAAACGTGAATCTGCTGTAGGAGAAATTGTCAACCTCATGTCAGAGGATGCCCAGTGTTTCAGGGACCTTGCTCCCTACATCAACCTGGTGTGGTCAGCACCCCTGCAGATCTCACTGGCAATCTACTTCCTCTGGCAGGTAACTCTCAAGCACTGACCTCTGCCCCTTCCTTTGACCTTGCTGCAGGAGGGAAAGGGAAGACTGTTCTGGAGCCCAGGTGCATGTCTGTTATCTCAGCCACTTAGGTGGCTGATGCAGAAAGATCACTTGAGCCCAGGATTCTGGATCAGCCTGGGCAAAATACCAAGACCCCATGGTAAGACAAAATTGGGTCAGTGAGGTGGCATGCACCGTGAATCTACTGTAGGAGAAATTGTCAACCTCATGTCAGAATATTTCCTCAGTAGTCCTAGCTACTCAGGAAGCTGAGACAAGTAGGTACCTTGAGCCCAAGAGTTCAAGGCCTGGGCAACATAGGAAGCCTCCATCTCAAAACAATAACAACAACAACAACAATTAGCTGGGTTCCTGTAGTCCCAGCTATTCAGGAAGCTGAGGTGGGAGGGTCACTTGAGCCCAGGAGTCCAAAGTTGTAGTGTATAATGATCATACCTGTAAATAGGTATGAGTGCCACTGCACTCCAGCCCAGACAAAATAGTGAGACCCCATCTCTAAAAAGAAAGAAAGGAAAGGAGGGAGGGAAGGAGGGAAAGGAAAGGAAAAAAACAACAAAAAAGAAAAGGGAGAAGAAAGAGGGTTATTCTAGGTAGGTAGAGAGGATATGGTATAGACACGAGAGCTTCCCTCAGCACTGGGGGAAGGGGAGAAGGAACAGAACTTCAAGGATGCTGGTGCCTGCAACTGAATATTTCCAGCCTATGCTGTTACCCTTCCTGCAGATGGAAAGAGGGCCTTGGAGGCAGGTCAGGTGTGACTCTGGTTGTCACTGTCTACGTTTGCTATCCTGTGTGTCTGGAGACCCTTCTATGTCGACTGTCCCTGTCTATCCTCATTATCTAATGGCTTCTGCAAACATGTGGTCATTCTGATTTTCTCTGTTTGGCCCACCACCACCCTTTGCTTCCTGCCCATTTGTAAATTTCAGGTCAACAGGCCTCTGTCTGTTAGGTCCTGTCTGTAGACTTTGGCTATCTGTTCATCTGTCTTATCTATCTTCCCTCCTCAGAACCTGGGTCACTCTACCCTGGCTGGAGTTGCTGTCATGATCTTAATGATTGCATTCGGTACAGCTATGGCCATGAAGATGCGTGCTTTCGAGGTAAGTGCTATTAGAGGTGCGTTGCTCCCGCCAGAACACCTGGCCAGCTGCCTAGTGGTGTGTATGTGTGTGTGTGGCGGGGGGGTCTTCTCTGCCTTGTTTTCTAAGTATGGATGGCTACTAGCCACTTACACAAACCATAGCTCACTCTTCCCTCACATCAGAGAGAGCTTTCATTTTTTCAGCTGGAGAACCAAGGCCTAGAGAAATTCTGGCAGTCCAGAATCAGATCGAGCTTGGCTTTGAACCTGAGTCTTCTGGTCTAATGAAATCTTTCCCCTCTAAGCATAAATAGCCAGTCATTCAGTCTGTTACTTGCAAACATTGTTGCATGTTTCAGTAGTACCCACTGCCCATAGAACCCCCTGAGACCACTGACCATGTCCCTGTTTACCCTACAAACCCTTCCCCACACCACTGCCACCTTGAGCTTGGCCAAGTTTCAGTCAGCCTGGCCTTTTCTTCAAAGCATCAAACTCAGCACACCTCTGGGCCACCACGTGTACTGTTCCCTCTTCCTGGAATTCTCTTCACCCCGCCTTACTGCCTTTACCTCTCAGCATAAACGTCACTTCCTCCAGAGGCCCACCCTGATTACCCAGTTTCCGTTCATTTCCCTGCCCCCACCCCATTGCTCCCTTACAACATCCTGTTATTTTCCTTCAGAACACACGTAATGACTGCTAATTGAGCATTAATTGGGTAACTGTTTGCTTATTAACCACCTCCTCCATCAGACTGTGTGCTGTGTAATGGTGGGCGCCATGTCTGAATGGCATATCATGACGTCCTTCATGTCTAGCATGCGGCCTGGCACATACAGGCACTGTAAATAGGGTTCAAGGAATAAATTCATCTGGGGTGTCAAGCCTTGGGTTTGCATCTGGGAGAACAAAGAAATAAACTTTGCATCCGCAGGAAGCTAACATTCTGGGGGAACCTGTATAAAAGATGGTTATGGAAAGAGAGGAAAGTGCTATGTGCTTTAGATACCCAGGGAAGGGGGAAGGATACTGCTTGGAAGGGTCAGTGACGGTAGCACCGAGGGTGGAGCTGGATTTGGTCCAGCAGAGGACACGAGGGAGATAGGGGCTGAGTATTCCAGAACAGGGTGGGAGACTGGAGACGGCAGCAGGTGTGACACTATTGCTCTTTCTCCCACATAGGAACAACGAATGAAGCTCAAGGACTCCCGCATCAAGCTGATGAACGAGATCCTAGGTGGCATCAAGGTGCTGAAGCTGTTTGCCTGGGAGCCCAGCTTCTTAGAGAAGGTGGAGGGCATCAGGCAGGGTGAGCTCCAGCTACTGCGCAAAGCTGCCTACCTCCTCGCTGTGTCCATTTTCACCATGATCTGCACCCCATTCCTGGTGAGGCTCTCTGTTGGGGCTGGGCCCTTGCCTCTTGCTGGGCTAGCCTGGGCCTCTGGGTGCCCAGGTATGGCTGGAGCCCAGCAGACTCCATCCCAACACCTACCCCCATGCTGCCCAGGGGTTCCTGATCACCCTTGGGGTGTATGTAAGTGTGGACCAGAACAACGTGCTGGATGCTGAGAAGGCCTTTGTGTCCTTGTCCTTGTTCAATATCTTAATGGATCCTCTCCAAATGCTGTCCCATTTATTCAGCTTCATGGCTCAGGTAACTGTGGGTGTAGCTGGGGGTGTCCCACTGGAGTTAAGGCAGGTTGTGGGCCAGGGAAAGGTCACTTAGGGTCAAGGGATAATCAGGGAGAATTACTGAAATCAAGGGAGGGCCATTTTCATTCTGAAGAATTGTTCAACATTGAAGTCATTGGGATAAAGGTTATTTGGAGGCCCAGGAGTTCAGGTGGGGTCTCTGGGCATAGCCTTCTCTTACCAACCTGGACCTTACCTGTGGGCAGTGGGAGCCTTGGAAGACCCAGTCATGGGAGGGTTCTTGGTGCCATTGTCTGGGCCCCCTGGGGTGGGGAACAAGACAGGGATAGGAGGAGGGAGTAGAAGTGGGGGTAGGAAAGGCACAGTCTCCAGGGCTGACTCATACTCTCCCACAGACTAGTGTGTCTCTGAAACGAATCCAGAATTTCCTGAGCCAGGATGAACTTGACCTCCAGTGTGTGGAAAGAAAGACCATCTCCCCAGGTGCAAGGACCCTCCTGGGCTGCTCACCCCAGTCTTAGCTCTAAAAAATCCTCTGTTCCAAATTCTCATTGACCTGTCACAACCCTCCTTCCTCTTCTTCACATCTATCTTAATTCTGTGACCCTCCTCTCCTCTGAGTTCTCTGCTCTCCCCTGACCAAGGCTCTTCCTCCCTCTCCCTTCCT